TTTGGATAGCTCTCAAGTCTATGTGTCTGCATGAGCAAGCTGTAAAACTTAAGAACATAATCCTTTTAAGCTATTACCTCATCCTCGTGTTGCCCAAGGATTTCTGTACATTTGCATAGTCTATCTTATGAACGCCGTTGTTCTTCAAGGAAGTGTACTGTCACCACTCCTTCATACCCGCTACACCTTTGAACAGCTCTTTACTATAACCTTTGTACACAGCGAAATCTAGCTTTGTCAACATTGTTCCTGTCGTAGTCGTAGCATCCCGCTTTTTCCAACATCATTTCCACATCATGGAGCAATGCTAGATAAAAAAGTAAAAAATAAATTCAAATAATATTCATTAAAAAAAACGTTCCTCCACTTAAAATCTAGATAAACAGTTAAACTGGAACACAAATGATTGACTAACATGTTTAAAATGAATGTAGAGAGACAAAATGATCACAACATCTACTTCACGGACGTTCTAAGCCAACGTTTTAGGAAAAAAGGCCTCACGCAGCACTAATTGGTAGCAAAGATCTTTTAAGCTGTTTTATCAATTATTTATTTCCAATCCAGAGGTCCCCATCTATATGGGGTATCTACCATTCATTCCGAACTAAACCGTCTTTATGTCCTACATTTTGCCCAATCCTGATTCATTAAATCCTAATCCAAATGTTCAATCGCCTGTCTATAAAGCATTAGTACATAATCTTTCCTATGTTACCCTTCCTGCGAACGAAGCGCAGATGGTACAGCAATCAGTTGGTGTACCAGATACCGTCAGAAATATTACTAAACCAATCAGTACAGCGTAGCGTGTAACAAGCCATGAACTCAAATGATATAGCTCATATTTGCTGGGAAGACAGAGGTGTTAAAATTGGCAATGGATCAATGTAGGCGGTTGCGTAAAAAATGAAATGGGATTCTTTCAAGGGAGCATGCTAGGCCCGCTATTGTTTTTGCTCTATCTTACCGACCTCCCGCCTATCATAGTATCTATGATTGTTTCATGAAATTACGCTGATTAATCCAACTTTGTGGTTCGATCTCATTCTCTCTACGCTCCTTTTAATCGAACCGCTGAAATATTTGAAAGGTCATTGTTTTGCTATTAACAAGCTTGACTTGAATCATTCTTAATCATCATGTGTAATCTTCATCCGGATCAGAACCTGCATTGAAATTTTCTCTTCTCTAATGTTTCGAAAGGGCAATTGTACATTTTGGATATCACGAGGTTTGGGGCTTCACTATAACCTTCATTTTGACTGTTACATAATTTTCTTTGTGCGTAAACTGACTGCGGTTTTGGATTCAATAGATTGAAACGTACTTTATAGTGACTTTCTTGAAAGAAGAAATCCTTATTTAGAGATTAAAAAATATTATTTTTGATGTATTAATTTCACTATTGGTTAACGTAAAAACAAAAATATTCTACGCTGCAGAATATTCTTGTTTGGTATGACAAACATTGTTATTATAACCTTATTGTCATAACAAACAATTCAAGGGAAGTAGGACAGAAAATGTTCGACCTCATTGTCATGATTCTAGCATTATAAAACCCTTAGGTATCCGGGAAATCGGTGTAAATTAATTATCTGACTGATAATTTCGACGAACTTCTGCGTGACTGACATTCCTGGTGCAAGCTCTAACATAATTTTTTTCTCAAAAACCTAGTGGACGGATTTTCATGGTTAATAATTCGTTTTAAAGGAATTGTCAAGTACATTTTACGCCATTATCAAACATGGTCTATGATTTCCATTTAAAAAAAGCGGTTAATTTCTGATAAATGATTTTGCTATTTTGTGAAATTTCTTATAGAAATCTTTTATAAATTTCTATGGTACTTAACGACTTATATATAAGCATAAAAAGCTACTTTCCTCGGCTTTCAAATGGTCGGTTTGACGTTAATATCCTTTTATCCGTTTTTGAATGATTGCCCTTTCACTCAGATATTCCAGTAACAACTTCTCAAAAATCAAAAATTTTGTAAATAAAAAAATTAATAAATTTCAATTCAAACAAAATTTAGAGGCCTTACAGAATTTCATACTAGTTTTACGAAAAACATTTATGAACTAGTTTACTTGGAAAATAGTTAAATGTTTAAAATTTTTTCGTTATTGATAAACTTTACAACTACTTTTACTATATTTTTATTGCAATCTTCATAAAAATGTTGTAAAATGATATATTCACACATTTGATTTGAGCAAATAGAACGGCGATATAAAAATATGAAAAACCCCGGAAAATTTCAACTTTCAAATTTTGGCGAAACCGGGCCTATTCAAAAGAAGTGGCGGATACGTGTCGGATATTTTGGAGTGTAGAATCACCAAAAAGTTTGGTCCAAATCTGTGGCACCACAACATGGTCGTCCCCTTGTTAGTCTTGACGCAGTCAGTAAATACGTCGTACAGTTCGTCGGATTATTGAAGTTGTTGTCTTCCTGCGCTATCTGTTTGTTACTTGTTTTCTGCTTTATAACCTTTCTTTAACGGATAAAGTAAAACGATCGAGTAAAGTCTAACAATTACGAGTACAATAAATAAATAAAAATAAAAAAGAACGAAGAAAGAAAAGTCTCTTGCTTTTATCGATAAACCAATAACGGTTGTCTTTAATTGAATTTTGGTGTTGCCTAAAAGCCAGACTTGCTCATCTGTCAACGCCTTGGCTTTGTGAAAAGGTAAAACCTGACTGGTAATTGTACAGCTATACGGAATTGTACGAGGAGTATGAACCATCCCTTACTTAATTAAATTAACCGACGACATGTATGCGGTTTGGCAATGAGTAAACCTTGGTCACATTTCAAGTTGTTCATACCGCCTTCCGTTGAAATTTTTAGTTTCTGTTATGCCGATTTCTGTGACTTACAATAATATTCTATATGGAATTGATAAAATGTATAATTTAAAACCAACGTTGTACTAAATATAGGGATGTTTGAAATGGATTTGGCTTACGTGGTATATTCAATATTGTATTGTATTCATTAGCCTTCCCCTAAATTAAATCAAACCAAGGTATTCACCAGGGCACAGTCCTGGGACCATTATTTTTTTCTGCTCTGCATAAACGATATTTTTGACCTTGACGTAGACTGCACAATTACCGGATTCGCTGATGACACCGTCTTACTAATTGAGGATGAACCAAATGAACAATTAATGATAAAAGCCTCTGGAAATATAAATAAAATACGAAGCTGGTATCATTCAAATAAACTTTTATTGAACACAGAAAAAACTAAATTAATTATATTTAGTATCCAAAATAACAATTAATAATTTAAAAGTGCATAACGGCGATTGCACGTTCAAAAATTGCTCTAACTGCTTTAAAATTAAACAAGTTTGTTCAATCAAATATTTATGATTAATCATAGACAAAAACCTAGGATGGGAAGAGCATATAACATCTATAATAAAAACAATCCGATCATTATTTTATAAATTTCGATTATTGAGAGATATAATTGATATAAATACCATAAAACGTGTTTATCTAGCACTTGTGCAGTCGATTTTCTCTTACCGTGTAGTAGCATGGAGTAAGGCAAATTTATCTAATAAAAGACGATTATATACAACAATTAATTCAATAATTAAAATAATTTTAAAAAACCTAGATTGTACTCCAGCATTCTTTCGTATAAACATTTTAAAGTTCATAATTTCAATCAGATATATTTATTAAATTCACTAGTTTCGTGGTCCGCTTGACCAATTATTATCTTACAATTAATTAATGTTTTCAGTAGGGATAAAAAAGTCAATGGCACGAGCGGGATTCGAACCGACGATCTTCGGCTTGATACGCCGCTGCTCTACCACTTGAGCTATCGTGACCTCATCCACTCGGACACCAACTTTCCATCTCAACCACACGAGGTCACTATAGCTCAAGTGGTAGAGCAGCGGCTTATCAACCCGAAGATTGTTGGTTCGAATCCCGCTCGTACCATTGAATTTTTATCTCAACTGAAAATCTTAATTAATGTGTGGTGATTAGTGACATAACACAGTAAAATCTCACTGGCACTCTCGACACGACACGCAAGAATGGCACAATTACACAGAAGACAAACACTTTGACTGAGTAGAAATACTTTGATTGAATATAAAAAATATATTTTGCATTGTAGAAATTCACTTTTCCACACCCTAAATGTATTTATTAAATGTAAACAATGTTCGTAAATCCCTGAAGATGATCTCAATAAAGATCGAAACGTTGGCACGATAAAGAAAATGTTTTTCTGAAACCTACATCACACCCAGACCGCATCTCACGATTTCTGAATAATTACCTTAATTAATTATATTTATTAAATTTACTTACTAAATTTTATAAAGATTGGAATAATAAATTATCAATCGCTCACAACTACTCCACTACAACCAAGATTGATTCCTCCATCAGCTTACAAATATATAGAACCACCATTTGTAAGAAAAACCCATTTAATATTGCTATTGCATTCTGTTATACCAACGAAATTAATATAAATAGTTTTTCTGACCAGAAATAATTAAAAACACATGTTATAAATAATATTTTATGTAACATACGAATTTTAAATAATAATATGTAGTTAAATGAACCTAAAATCATTAAAAAACATATTTTAAATAATATTTGTGTAACAATTGGAACTTTAAATAATAATATGTAATTCACTGAGTTATTTTGAAAGAAAGACTGATCATTTCACTCAGCACAAGCCATTGTTATATAATACAAATCTACTGTTCATAATATAATGTTTTATCATTACCATTGTAAAATTGGAAATTTTGTTGATTGGCAAATATATAAAAAAAACATGGGTGACAAACTAACAGCAGTTCAACTTTTTTCAGCTATTTTAGTTGAAGATAAATTCTCTAATCATATATCGAAATATTTGAGACTATTTAATTCTTATAGTCATATTATTTTCTTCCTTTATTTCAATTCAATTTGTTCGTTTGTTCCAGGTGGGGGCAAAAGAAGCAGAAATGGTATGAAGGAAGCCGATTTTTCAAACGATCCGGTAAGTCTTCAAATCTTCCATAACAATGAGATATGACTAAAGGTTAAACAATAAAGTTATAACGATATTCGGGCTTGAAAGGTATCGGGTAATTTAGTGTAAACTGAAAGGGTGAGAGTTATGAAGAAAAAGTTGGCCGGTACCTTGGCGGAATCGTCGAGAGGAGGGGCGGCCTATTGCACTCCTTTAAACTGACACTTTAATTAAAACTTGATTTAACCAAACATTGTCTTGGGTTCCTTGCGAACTTTGGCCCGAGAATGAAAAGCGTGACGACCCGGACTGGGGGCGAATCTCGGCGGGTTCGGTTTTCCCCGTCTGTTAAAGCACGCGTGACCCCTGTTAAACCGCGTGGAGATTTGATAAACTTAAACGAGTGATAAGTATGCATCAGGGACTTCTAAATAGGCCATTACCCGGCAACTACACGGAATTTAAACTCACTCCTGCTTGGAAGAAAAGGTTAAAATCGTAAAATAAATAAGTGGATAGCATATGGGGCAACAAGAGGTTCCGTATACGTGCCTTATAAAATTTCCTTTTCAGTGACACATCACCCCTAATGTAGCTAATGCAGTAAAAATTGATTTTACAGTGATAAAATTGTAGTGAATTATAAATTCAAATGGACCTCAGCCATGTTTGTCCTTCAAACTTCAACTTTTAAGTTTGGTAACTTCTATTCAGTCGAGTTTTTCTAACAGTTGCGAAGGACGAACCTATGAGAATTGCTAATGGAAACTTAAATAAAACTGCAGCTTTGATCTCATAAAAATGATTTCTAATGAATCGTTAAACTATTTACTTCATCTTTGACCTTAGCCGCTTTTGTATTTTCAAACGGCGAAAGCGGCAATCGTTGGCATTTCCGTCAAGAAGTCGAATTGAAAATGAAATCACAACTGAAGAAGGCGCCCGGCTTGTGAAAATACTAGTATTTCAAATCGCAAATCGAACGGGAATCAATTTACTTGGAACTCCGCTTGCGCCTTCAGCCGAGCTCGGCGTCTTTTGTGTGGTAAAAGGAAAACAAATTTTTTTTTACCTTTGAACCAGACCGCAAAAGGAAAAATTAATTTCCGTTTAAGCTACATTGTCAAGAAAGCTCTTAGTCGACAAAAATTCTTAACTGCCAATAGCATATTTCAAAAAACTTTATTTTTCAAAAGTAGAATAGTGGTTATTTAACCAATTTTAATCATCTGGAATATCCATTTTAATTTAACATGGGGTGACCTTGTAAAATTATTTAAATAAACGTCAGCTGGTGAAACTTTACAACTGTGAATGTTGGCTACACTTTTATAAATATTAAGATTGTCGCAACTGCCACAGTTGCAAATCAAGTGTCACTGCTACAACTGTAAAAGTTGGCGACAGTAGAGATTGATGATAATGTGAAGGTTAGGAAGCCCTGCTATAATTGTAAACGTTAGCATAACTATAAAAGTTTTAAAGGTTGTGTACCCTGCTACAACTATAAAAGTTAGCGACACTAGAGTTTGATGGCACTGTAAAAATTAGGTGTTAAGTATATTGCTACAACTGTGCAGGTTGACCAAACTTTAACTGATGTAATGGTTGAGTACACTGCTACAACTGCTAAAGTTGAAGTCACTGCAGAGATTGATGACTGTCTGAAGGTTAGGAACATTGCTACAACTGTAGAGGTTGATGACTCTGTAAATGTTGGGTAAATTGCTACAACTGTTAAGTTGGAGTCACTGCATAGATTGATGACTGTGTTAAGGTTAGGAACACTGCTACAACTGTAAATTTTGCCGACAGTGTAGAGGTTGAGGACACTGTAAATGTTGGATAAACTGCTACAACTGTAAATGTATACTTCTGTACTTTGGTGGCAGTGTAACAACTCTTAATTCTCGAAAAATTGCTAGAGTTGAAAGTCTGTTGAGTTAACAACTATAAAGGTAGTTGACACTGTTGCTGATAATGAGGATTTGTACTATCAAGCGGGGGTTTGTTGTTCCCCAAGGAATGCAGCTTTGTGGCTTTTACTATTTTTCCTAGTTCTTAAGTTTAGTTTAATTGGCTCAATTTTTCTTATAAGAAGGAAAAGAGTATGCAGTTGATCCATTATTATTCGTATTTCGTTTCAATGTTCATACTTAATGTGATTTTTTGACGCTGCATCCACGATACCGGATACACGGCCACTACAATCGCGCGTAGTCACGTAGACACGTAGCGGTCATGACAACGGGACGGTATTACATATAAACAATATAAATAACTTATATAAGCTTAATATAAGTTTTTTTCAAAATATGTAATTTTAATACAGTAAAAATTCATTCATCTTAGAAATGAGGCTTTGGTCCTCCGTTGAAAACATCTCAGCTTGCTGGGATCGAGTCGCAACTCGCGCAGGTAAAGACAAAACAAAATACTCTCAGGGGACACAGGTTGGTGGGACCACGGATTTGGACGAAACTTTTTTTGATGATTCTGTACCCCTAAATATCGATCACATATCTTCTTGAGAATAGGTCGTTTTCGTCAAAAGTGTTTTGAAAGTTTAAATTTTCCATTTTTTAATATTTATATTTCGCTGTTCTCCCTGTACACATCAACTATTTATATCATTTTACAGAATTTTTTATGTAGATGGCAGAAAAAATATATTAAAAGCTATGAAAGTTTATTAATAACCAAAAATTTCTAAAAACCAATTTTTTTCAAGTAAACTAGTATGTTTTCAAGTAAAGAAAAAAAATTTTTTTTCGCGAAACTAATACGAAATTTCCTTTTAGGTCTTCTAGAGACATTTAAATATAAATTTTTGTTTGAATTTAAAGGTACCGAATTTTTGATCGATAAAGTTTTTCTATACCAAAACATACCAGACCATAACAGAAGAGGAACGTAGATTTTTAACGACGTAAATAGCATTAAAAATATGAGAAAAAAGCAAAATTATATGTAAGTAATTAACCTGTCTTTTGTAAATGGAAATAACAGTGTGATTTGAATGTTTGATACAGTTTTAACATGCACTTGACAATTTCTGTAAAGTCTCTCATTTAATTAAATTTACTATAAAATTATAATTTTAAACCGGTCAAAATTTTGATTTGAATTCTAGGGTTATAAAATCTATAGATACCGACTTTCCAGAAAGAAGAAATATTTATTTACAAATTAAAATAATATTATTTTTGATATATTAATTTCATGGTTGGGTTAACATAAAAACAAAATTTTCTGTGGCCCGGAATATCTTATTTGGTATGATTTAAAAAGATAAACAAACAAAATACTGCTTTTTGGCATACTTTAACAAACATTATCGATATAACGTTATTCAAACAATTTAATCAAAGTAGGTCAGAAAATGGTCAAAACGTGGATTTTACCTTCTGCGGGTGGATCGATTTTCATATAATTCGTTTTAAAGAAATTGTCTTTTGAAAATGGGACTATTAATTTCAATTAAAAAAACGAGGTTAATTTCTGATATATTATTTTGTATATTTTTTTATCGACGTTTTTTATATATTTGAATGGTACATACGCCATAAGAAAGCTCTTCGTTCCTTATCATTCAAATGGTGTTTGACGTTAAAATCATTTTAGCCGTTTTTGATTTATAGCCGTTTCAACCAGATGTTCCGATAATTCTCAAAACTCGGAAAATTTTAGAGGTCAAACATTCGATCAATTTAAATTCAAACAAAAATCTAAATTTACGTTATCTCTAGAGGTGTTAAAACAAAATCTCATATGTTTCCTGAAATAATAAATTATGACCTAGTTTACTTGAAAAATATTTGATTTTTAGAAATTTTTTGAACTTAGGAAACTTCGATAGCTTTTACTATACTTTTAATGCAATTTACATTTAAAAAAATTGTTGTAAAATTATATATTCATATAGTTATTTGAGAAACTAGAAAGGCGAAATATAAATATTAAAAAAATGAAAATTTCATTTTTTTGGCGAAACCAGGGCCTATTCAAAAGAGGTGACGGATACGTGTCCAATATTTTGGAGTGTTAAATCACCAAAAAATGTTTGGCCCAAATCCGTGACTAGCCAGCCTGTTTGTCTCCTCGTAAATATTTCTTCCGCTTGAAAGCGAATCAGAACTAAGTAAAAAAATATTGCTTAGGTTCGTAGTAACAAATTCAAAGTCGCCCCCGAAGAGCAATTTCAAAATTTATTTTTAAGAAAAGAGCCGTTCGATTGATCCATGTATAGAGGGCCGAATTACATTGAACTAAAAAACAAATTTGTTATTTTTTGTTGTTATTATTGTTAAATTGTTCACAATTTAAAGTTATTTGTACATTAAGTTGTTAATTGTATATTCATCCTTTGATGCATAGTTTAAGTTTGAAACTTACCTTATTGTAGTTATCTACTTATATAGTTTTAAATCTTGCTATATAATTTTAATTTATGTTTGCACCAGTTGAGTTAAAAATGAGTACAATCCATTGATTATAAAATAAATTATCATATCATGTGTATTACATATTTTATGTAAAGTTTTGGTGAGATTTAGGTATCGGTTAGTTTAGGTTAGATATTAGAAAGTTAGTCGGGATACACTAACACGACCTTTGACTAACCTGTGGGTTCGAATCCCGCTCGTGACACTAGCTTTTTATTTTAACCAAGATGTCAGATAAAAAGTTTAATTAATTGAAATAATTAATAGTTCAGTTATGACTGCTAAACATATATGTATTAATATAATGTTTTAACCTTTGTTTCCATTTTTTGCACGGTTTGTTGTTTTTAATAAGTTTTGAACTTGTGAATTAGACGACAATTTGGTCTTTAATCATCACTAATGGTTATGAGTTGATAAAATTGAAAGTTTTTAACTTTAGAACATTGCTTCTGTAAATTCAAATGATAACATACAGGTAGCTTGTCGAAATAAATTTAGTCAGAGAAATTAATCGTGGAAAGCTTGGTGAACTGAAAAAGCTTACTTCATCACGAAGACGTTGTGAAGATATCTCGATAA